CATATTAGGGTGCCATTAAGTATAAATATAGTAAAAATTGGATAGTTGACATGAACGATGAAATGTCTTTACCTCTTAAAAATAAAATGTGTAGTTTAGTAAACAGGCCTAAAGGGCAGAAATTGGTTGACTGTAAGTGAATCTATAAAGTAAAAGAAGAAAAATGAGAGTAAAAATGTTAGATATAAGGTAAGACGTGTTGCAAAATGTTTTGCTTAAAAGGAAGGTGTGAAATTTTTTCTCCTATTGTGAAATATACTACTATTAGATGCCTACTTGCTTTTGTTGCTCAATTTAAATGAGAACTCAATCAATTAGATGTTAAAACTGCTTTTGTAAGGTTAATTAAATGAAATTATTTACATGAGACAACATTATAAAAGGAGAACCTGAAAATACTATTTGACCGTTAAACAAATCTTTGTATGATCCAAAAAACAAGCACATAGACAGTGGTACAAAAGATTTCATACTTCTGATATGAAATTTAGCTAAATTTAGCTTTAAAAGGAGTCAATATCATACTTGTTTATGCTACAAAGGTAATGAAGGCAAAAATTCCTTATATTCAGTCCTTTATGTGGATGATATGCTGTTTGCTAGTTGTGATAAATTTGAGATTGGCAATATTAAATTAAAACTGAAATCTGAGTTTGATGCGAAGGACGCTTGTTCTGCTAAAAAGATACTAGGCATGTAGATTTGGATAAATAAAGAAAAGGACTTGGTGGTTTTGAATCAATATGATTATGTGTTTAAAATTCTAAAAAAATCTAACATGTATAACTGAAAACTTGTAACCTTACATCTTACTAACCATTTTAAGTTATCTTTTTAATGCTATCCTAAATCCGAAGACGAATATGCAGAATGTCTAATGTTCCTTATGCAAATGCCATAGGTTTTATTATGCATTTAATAATTTGTACAAGACCCGATCTTTCACAAACTATTAGCATATGAAGCAAAATTATTAGTTTCCTACGGAAGAACACTAGAATGCCTTGAAATGGCTACTAAGATATCTTAAAAGCACACCTAGCTTAATAGTTTAATGTTTAAATTGAAAAAGATGGTGTGACTTTAAAGAGATATCTAGTGACACGACCCGTCTTGAATCACCCTAATAGACTCGACACGTGTCATGCGCCGATAGTAGATACCATCTAAGTGCCGGATCCACCATCAAGGCAACATTGACTTGTTTTGACTGTGATATACTTTGTAAAAATTTTGGAAGAATTCTCTCTGAAATATGGATTAAAACCACTTGAAAATATATCCAATATACCAAATATGTACATATAATTTAAAATAGGGTACACTGGCCTCACAGAATACCAACTATTCAAATACAACCTTAGCAATTCGACTTTTGCAACAATTTACAAACCACAGTACCCAAATGCATAATACATACAAAACATAGCAGACCCAAAATATGGAACTAATTTCTAACCAAAAGATGCGACTATCCCAAAATATGAACTATTAAATTGATAAGATAAATCATACAATGCTTGGCAATCTATGGCTCAACTTGATAGATCAACTGCCTAGTTGTGCTCAACTCAGTTACTATCTGATAAGAGAAAATGTGATAAAAATATGAGCTTATATCTCAATGAGTAGATATTTCGTAAGTAAAAATATATTTTCTAGATATGCAAACTTTCTGAAAACTGGTCTATAATAAAAATGTTCTTTTATTGTACTAAAAGCTAAAACATTTATTCTTTAAACTGAAATGACTAACTTCTGTAATTTGAAAACTGATGAACTATAATTTACTAAAAGTCACACCAAAAAAATACCTAGAACAACCTTACTCACGTATCAGTTAGTACCGATAAACATGATAGGGCTATTTGATTCTGTAATTCTGAAATTCTTCTTATACGCGCGCAGAGCTATCTGGTCATACACTACGAAAACACATTCACAATAGCGCAGAACGGGTAAAATCACCATAACTGATCATATATTGTGAAAACACATTCATACCAGTGCATAGTGGGTAAAATCACTATAACTGGTCATACACTGTGGAAACACATTCACACGAGTTCAAATTAGGGTAAAATCACCTGGGTGCTTTCTGGTGGTTTTTAGAAAATAACTTTAAATATGCTGAACTATTTAATATTGAAATAATATGCCAATGAAATGATTTAACTGAATTGAATTTAACTTTAAAAACAACTGTTTATAAATCAACTTTATTCTGAAAATCATGCTGTCAAATCAACTGTATGAGTTCATAAATTTTCTTATTTAATATAAATTTTATAAATACTAATTTTTGAAAAATAAGTTTATATCCACTCACAAGTCAAGCTATAGCCTGAGATGGTTGGTAGGCTTTTCCGATCTCCTCGTCACCACCCGAAATACAATACAAAATAACAAATTTAACCACTAGTAAAACAAGAACTCCTTTATCCCTAAATAATATAATACCTAAATTAAATTTCTCGATACTTGAATAAATTCCCAAATTTTTCCTTTAGTCAATTGGAGTTGATTCCACTTTCTAATACCTTCACAAATGTATACCACGTCCGAATTTACTTTCACCCCATTCATAAAAAATAATTATAGTTTCCAATCTAATCCAAACTAGTAACCATAATTCTACCCATTTAAACTTTCATCTTGTTTCTCAACTTGCTTTCATGTGAGTATTCCATCAATATAATCATTCCCACTAACAATACCTAGTAAAAAATCCCGAATAGAAATCTAGGGTTTGCCAAAAATTTGATATTTCTTACCTTAATTCAAATGGAGACTAACCAATCAAGAAGCTTGAGCTAGAGATCATAATTCTTTCTCTAAATCTGAAATTTCGAACCAAGTTAAACCCTAGAAATTTAACATAAAATTTATCTACCTCTTGAAGAAAATAAAGAAAAAGGAAAAATGAAAATAAACCTTGAACTACTACCACAACTACTTCTTCTTCTTCCTCTTTCCTTTTTCTCCTTCTTTTTCTTCCCTTTTCTCCTTTCTTCTTTCTTTCTGCCCATTTCCCCCTAGCTTCTCTGCCCCATTTCCAGATTCTTCCTATTTGTGTGGTTGAGTGATATAAAAGAAATGGGCTAATTGTTGTATAATTGCCACTTGCCCTCCATAACACCAACTTTTGCAAATTAAGTCCTTCAACATTAATATATCTTAGTATTGAATCTTTTACTTTCCAAAAATGGAAAAATAAATCCCTAACTTTAAATTTTATCCATTATAAACCATTAAGTATCTTAAATTATAAAATAAATCCCAATAAAATCATTTATTCCCTTTAAGTCCTTATTTGACTTTGACTAGTCAAACCCTTGATTTTGAATAAATAATATTGACTTTTGACTATTAGGAAATGGGGTGTAACATTTGGATTCTGAATTTCTAGGAGATAGGGATAATAGGAGATCAATTTCATCTCATTTTGATATCTTATGTGGAACTATTGTAAATTTGAAATCCCAACTTCAAAAAGTTGTTGCAATATTTTCCACAAAAACAGAGCATATTGCTGCAACTGATGCAATGAAAAAGGAAATTTGGTTAAATGTTTTGTTATCTGAACTTGGATTTGTTGATGATCATGTATACTCTTTTCTCATAATCAAAGTGCTATTCTTCTAAGTAGAAATTCTATATTTCATTATAGTACAAAGTATATTGACGTTAAATACAATTTTATAAGTGATGTGTTTTCGAAAGGAATTCTTAGAATTGGCAAAATTGCTACATAGTTTAATCCATCTGATATGGGCACAAAAGTGATTCCTTTAAATAAGTTTATTAACTGTTAGAAACTTTTTTCTGTTGATTCTATATAAAACATGTACAGGTACTTGGAGTAAATGAAAAGTGAAATTCTGATGTTGCTCTTGGCTGTACTTATAGTCCCAAATTCTAGTAGTAAGGCCGAGATTGTATGATTCGAGCCTTGGAAGTGTGCTTCCAGAATTTGTATTGAAATCGAATTTGTGAAATATTACTTTACTAGTAAAAGCATTATTTACTGGATTAAGACATGTGGCTTCAATCTTGACTGTTGGCTGCTCCTTCTGGATGGTTCATGGGCCTTATCTCATTTGTGCCATTTTATTTGGCACCTGGTCAATTAATTTCATTTGGCCGTTGGTTTTTGAGAGAGAAAAAAATGAGAGAGTTTTTTACTTGCTAGGGTTTTCATCTTTGTTCTTCATCTTTTAATTTCCTGGTTTGAGAACTATGATCTGTAATATTTAGCATCTATTTTGTGATATTCTGAGTGAATGTTTGTAAGAACGAGAGGATCCCTTTGAGTTTTTTATTTCAAAGGGGTTTAGGGAAAATTCTTGGAGATTCTTCATAGAGTTGCTATTCTTCTTGAGAGATAAGTGTTCTTGTGCTATTTCAGTGTATTGGTTAGACTTTTGTAACCTCCGTTGTCATTTTGGGCTATTTAGTGCAATCGAGTATAATCCAATTTATTGGATGCTCAACGAAAGATGTAGGTCTTAGATGTAGTCATCGAACCTCCAAGGCTTAGGCTGACATAAGCCCCCGTTTGGCTCTCATTTCTTTTTTTTTTTCCTATTTTTAATCTCACAATCTTTCATAAAATAATATTACACGTAAATCGAATTTTTTTCTTTTTCAACCACTCATTTTTCAAAAAAATATTATTCCTCCCATTTTCTGATTTTCATTTTCAATAATTGGGGGCCAAACAGGGTCTAAGTTTCTTGTGTTCAGATCATTTTATTTTGCTTCTCGATTGTGGGAACCTGGTCTTAAAATCTGTACTTTGACAAATTTTACATCAGCACATTCAAATCGGTTTTTATTTTTTTTTATTTTTATTTATCTAATAACATCAGCACATTAAGATCCAAGACTCCAGCAGATGCTTTCTTGAGGATGCAGCCTTAAAGTAGCCGAAAACATTAACATTAATTCGTTCAAACCCCTAAAGAAAAAGCAAAACAGAAAAAAGGGCCAGCAGAGAGAAAAGATAAAGAAACACAACAGAACTCAAAGAAAAACAACTTGATTTCCTCTTTCTGCTCTTATATTCTACACTCAGTTCACTTCACAAACTCCTTTTCTCTTCCATCTGCCACTCTAGATACACAACTCACCACCCATAAAACACATTTGCATCATAGGCAGGCATGGCAGCAGCACCAGCGGCGGCTGCAGCTTTGTCGATAGTGTTAGTGGTGGCGGACCTGGTACTCTTGCTGTGCACAGCCATCAATTTCTCAGCCTCAATGGTTGCGGCAGCCACCTGGTGTGTGGCCAGGAGTGATGCCATCGACCGAACTTTACAAACGGCTCTTGACTACGCATGCGGGGCAGGTGCAGATTGTGCACCAATTCAATCTTCTGGAATGTGTTATCTTCCAAACACGCTTCAAGCCCATGCGTCGTATGCCTTCAACAATTATTTTCAGCGCAGAGGCAATGCCCCTGGCTCCTGCACATTTGCTGGCACTGCCACCATTGCCAAAACTGACCCAAGTTTGTTCTCTCCATTTTCTACAATTTTTTTATTTTTTGCATGGGAAATTATTTATTAGTGTTCCATTTTTAATTTTTCTGATTTCATTTGGGAATTTTATGTTCAGGCTACGGATCCTGTGTTTATCCATCATCTCCAAGGTATTTTTTCTTTTCCTAAATATATAATAATACTACTTTTTTAAGCTTTTAGTACTTTTCCGAAAGCAGGTTATTTGCTTTTTAAATTGCTGGCACAACTAGTTGTAAGAATCTTGATTTGCTGCGATTTGGTGAAAAAAAAAAAAAAAAACTCACCAAAATCTTTAATCAGAATATTCTAATTATTGTTGTGTTTATTATTCTTCTTCATTATGGCTTTGATGTGTGGAAATGATCTATATATGTATATGTATATACGTTATTTCCATTCAAGCACCGTAAATAACTATCTTATTGCTATTACTTCGTAGATTAGGACCAGTGGGACTGGTTGTATTCCGTTGTTTGTGTCATGTGCATTTTGCGGTGATTTAAGTTAATGAAATTGGAGCTTACATTTTAGAAAAGAAAAATGAGGGCCTTGACAAGTGACGAACTTTTCCTTTCGAGATATGTATGTGTAGTTGTTATTTTATTTTATTTTATTTTTTTAACAATCAATTGGGTTCGTGGTGATTAGGAAGAATCAAGAAGGAAGTGAAGTGAGGGATCCAACGAAATTGCAGATAGAACGGGCTGTGGATTTTGAGAGGTTTTAGTGATTTGAGAGGTGAGTTAGAATTAGAACAGGATGTTGAAAATTATAAACTCTAATTCTATTCCACCGAGAGCAATCAATTGAGAAAATGAAAAATAAACACTCAAGAACATGCACGATTTATAGAGGTTCATTTCATTTTGATGTCCTCTCTTGCCGCTACATTAATTCACAATGATAAAAAATGGTTTACAAAAGAAAATCACATTTCTATCTTCTCTGACCTCTCTTTCTCTCTTTTTGATGATAATAACAAAGCCTAACAATGACTCTGACACGACTCGTCCCGAATCACCCTAGTGGACCTGAAACGTGATATGCGCTGATGATGGATGCTGACTAGATGTCAATTCTATCACCAAGACTGACTATGAGTTATTTAAAAAAATGCAACAAAATCAAGTGCTTATATAAAATATAATGCGATGAGCCCAAAATATTTACTTTGTGCTTCATCGATATGAGTTATAATATTTAACATATCGTGTGGCTCTCATTTGAAAATCATTAGGCTCTTCCAGTTAAAAAAAAATCAATTTCCACCTGTAAGAAAATTACGAAAAATATATGAGTTTATAGCTCAGTGAGTGGAAGAGTTCAAAAATAATTATACTTTCTCCTTTAAACATTTTTATGAAACATTCAGTTCATATCGTTTAATATTCACATGATAGACTCATACAATTGTAGCAAAAAGTAAGTCATTCTTATAATCATAATCACAATATAGTCATCAGGTGATATCTATACCATCATCTCATCATATCACATGTGATCTACAAAAAATGTACCCTCTGACTAAAATATATAATCCGCCCCTCGGGCTAAGCACTTTCGCCACGGGCCTTTGGCCCCTCCGTGAACGAAAGTCGGTCTCAAAGATCTCTCATAATCAATTTTAGAACACGGTCAAGGCCCCTCAGTGAACTCTATGTACACGATCAAGATCCTTTCATCCCCTGTCCAAGACCCCTCAGTGTAGTATAGAACAAGGCCAAGGCCCCTCAGTGAACTAGAAGAAATATATAATCACGAGTACATATAGTTCTCTCTCTTCTCTTTCTCGTTTTCTCTCTCACTCTCTGTATATGTGGAAATGAAATGGTTTTGTTTCCTGACCGTTTTGTTTTGTTTTCTTTTGGCTTGGCTTGATAGTTTTGACTTTTCATTTTATTATTATTAGTATTATTATTATTTTTATTTTAAGGTATTACAGGCTCCCTATTTATGAGATAAATTAAGGCAAAACTGAATTTTACAAGGACTCCGATTCCTTAATATAATTTACAAGGGCACTAATTTCAGATAGCTTGAACTATTTTCTTTGGATTCCATATACCAGTTGATACGATTCTGACATGGATATGAAGTATCAACTTTAGATTGAGCCTTGAATGAGTGATTTTATGAGAAAAATGGATACAATTTAAATTATGTACTGATAGATGAATGCTTTGACACTGGATTCCCCGAGCATGAGGTCTTAAAGACTGGCTTATTGACGAGTTTCGTTTCTAAAACAAGACTGAAAAAATGTTCTGGCAGAAATGAAATATCGAATGCTTTCTTGAAGGAATTTATTTTAGGCAAAGTTTGGCGGTTTGATTATTACCTTCGTTATCCACTTGTTTCAAGGTAGTTGGCGGACAAAAAATTATGGAGTTAAATATTAGACCTATGCCTTTTATGGCCACTCTTCCATGCAACAATATATCCAGCACCTGGCAAGCACCAATGGCCTCCCATGCTGGATCAGCTGAA